AACGCGGTTCCAAGATTGAAAATATTACTTTCACCGATTTTAGACGGTGCGTTTTTTCATACCCGTTGCGTTGCACACATATTAATTTATCCGTACAAGCCGGTTTGGAGGTTATTGAGCCGATTAGATTAGAATTTAAACAATGATAAATCGATTCTTTGTAACAACAACAAAAGACTAAATGATTATAAACGATTTTGTAAGTCCGTTAATAAAAAAGCTTTGGGTCCTAATTTGGATTGTCCAACTCGTTGAAACTCACTTGGATGATGATGCATACTGCCTTAAGGCAAAGGGAACATTGCAAACATTTCACGATCGGCTTTTCGAGAAGGGTCATGTCCCAAACATTTATCCGGATTCGAGTTGGAAACTATAGCCAAATAACCGATTTGCTTGAGGTTTTAAAAATGCAACAACTTTTTTATCCGGTGTTTATTACCCTACTAGCCCATTGGTTCTTAATCAAATATTTTTGTTGGCTACCCGACTAAATGACTTTGAATTTGAAACCGAAGTTTTTCAAGAAATTGGCTTTGCAATGAAGGAAAACTTTTAAAATATTTTAAGGAGATTCCCCCCATTTTTACTTGTGCCGCCGCTTTAAACCCAACGTTAAATGTTGGTGGGGTTGAAACACTAATTGAACAAATTGCGTTTGCTTTTAATCTAACCGATGATGAACCCAACTTTGTCCAAAACCAAATAATTATTTTAACAAATGTTTTCGAGACATGTTTGCAATTTATTTAACTAAATACGGATCAAGTAGTGTAATACACGATCAAATGAGAATGAATGCGGAATCATCTAGTAGACGTCCAAGTAACATAAATTTGAATCTTTTTAACACTCTTGTAAATTCCCAATCCAAACGATCACGTACTACCACCCCAAGTAGTTGGGAAATTACATGTCATGCGATTTTCTATCAAAAATGACATTTGAAGAGTTTGAAAGTTTGGATATTTTGGCTTGGTGGAAAGAAAAGGAAGCACAATTTCCGATTCTAGCCGCCATGGCCCGTGATTTACTAACCGTCCAAGCTTCTACGGTAGCTTCGGAATCCGCTTTTTCTGTTAGTGGCAGGGTTATATCGCAACGGAGATCAAGACTAAGTCCCGAGTCGGTGGAAGTATGCATTTGTTTAAAGGATTATTTGGATGGAGCGGCTCGTAAGCAACATATCACCACCCTAGAAGATGCAATTGATGCCGATTTGGAAGCAAACTTACACATTGAAGAAGTCGAACTTGGAATATCCCCTCCAAACGAAGAAGGCGAAGATGATGAAGAAGAGATGGCAATGTAGTTTATTTTATAACTTTATTTCAATTATCGTAAACTTTGTTTCAATTATCGTGGTGGTGGAACGACGAAGTCCAAACTAAGGTGAAGACAAAACAAACTTGCTTCAAGGAGTTTCTACAATGCAATGACGACGAAGAAAGGTCGAGAGCTAAACAAAGATATCAGGAGGCAAAGCGGGAAGCCAAGAAAACGGTAGCTAAAGCAAAGGATAAGGCATACGAGGAAATGTACAAGAGATTAGACACCAAGGAAGGACAAAATGGCATCTTCAGACTTGCAAAATCTAGGGAGAATAGGAAAAAGGATCTAGGTAATATTAGGTTTATTAAGGACAACAATGATGTTCTTTTAGCGAAAGATCACGATATTAAAAGGGTTTGGGGTAGTTACTTCTTTGGCTTATTTAATGACGGTGCCTCTCCATGTAGAGATAGTATCGTTGATGGGTCAGTCGACTATCATACTACGGCCAATGACTGCCCTACAAGTAGGATTGGGTTTGAGGAAGTCAAAATGGCTCTTAGAAAGATGGGAATGGACAAAGCTGTCGGTCCTGATCAAATTTCTATCACTGTGTGGTTGGCCCTAGGAGAAGAGGGAGTTAAGTGGTTGACCAACATCTTTAATATTATTTTAGAGACTGCCAAGATGCCAGAGGAGTGGAGAGAGTCTACGGTGATACCAATTTATAAAAATAAAGGAGATCCCCAACGTTGTGGTAACTACAAAGGTATTAAACTACTCAGCCATACCATGATGCTATGGGAAAGGGTGATAGAGGCTAGGTTGAGACAAGTCACTAAGGTTTCGGAAAACCAATTTGGCTTTATGCCAGGCAGGTCTACCATGGAGGCGATTCATCTACTTCGACGGCTTATGGAGAAATATAGGGAAAAGTCTAGAGATCTTCACATGGCGTTCATTAACCTTGAGAAGGCTTATGATAGCGTTCCCCGCAATACGATCTGGAAGACTTTGGAAACGAGACGGATCCCAACTGCTTATATCCGGGCAATTCGTGATATGTACTGTAGATCTACTTCTTACGTCAGGACTACAGTTGGCGACACCGAGGCATTCCCGGTGGAAATCGGACTCCACCAGGGGTCGGCTCTTAGCCCTTACATCTTCACCTTGATTATGGACGACATCTATTGTGCGACACCAGACGGTGTACCATGGTGTATGCTTTTCGCTGACGACATTGTCCTAGTTGCTGAAACAAAATCTGAGTTGAATAGTAGACTGGCTACCTGGAAGACTGCTTTGGAAGAAAAAGGTTTAAGGATCAATATTGAAAAGACAGAGTATTTATGTTCAAACTTCAATGGGAACCAAAACGATGAAGATGTAGAAGTATGCATAGAAGGACACGTTCTCCCATCAAAGGATTGTTTCAAGTACCTAGGGTCTATGATACATAAAGATGGGAGTGTAGATGACGACGTTACACACCGTATAAAGGCGGGATGGCTAAAGTGGAGGGCCGCTACTGGAGTTTTGTGTGACAAGAAGGTGCCTCTAAAACTTAAGGGAAATTTTATAGAATGACAATAAGACCAGCGCTGTTGTATGGATCAGAATGTTGGGCAACCAAGAAGGATCACGTAAGGAGGATAGAGGCCGCAGAAATGAGAATGCTTCGATGGACATGTGGTAGGACTCTGTGGGATATGACGACAAACTCTGCTATTAGGATGTCCTTGGGGGTGGTGTCTGTTTCCAAAAAATTGAGGGAGGGAAGACTACGGTGGTTTGGGCATGTCCTTAGGCGACTACCGTCGGATGCGGTCAGGAGGGTAGAGTCGATTACAGTCGACGGTGCCAGAAGGAAAGGACGACCAATGAGGAAGTGGGAAGACTGCTTGAGATCTGATTTGATGGAGTTAGCCCTTACCGAAGACATGACCTCTCATAGGAAAATATGGAGGCTAAAAACTAGGGTAGTCGAGTAGTGTGGGTCACATCTATAGGGTGTATCATCTCTGTCTTCTTTTAATGCCTTTGTAGTAATTTCCATGACTTCTACTTTTTATACGTTTCTGTTATTGGTATTTATGAAGGATTGGAACTGGGCTTGATATCGTTGACTTTTGTTTATCATTCTCTTCATGTTTTCTCTTTTAAATTTAGCTGGGTCTTATGTTTTTGTCTATATGCAGAGATTCTTTCGCAGGGATTATTTTGCAGGGATTAATTCCCATTACAAACGCACATATGATTTTAATGACTGCATATGAATACTGTTTAGCTATGTATTTATTTATACATGCATTGCATTTTATCTATATTTTTAATTTTCTGACTGTTGGAGGTCTTTCACGGAAGCTACTCCCAACCTGGCGTTGGGGGCAGCCTACTACCCTATCTCCCCCTTACCCCATACATATGGGAATTGGGTTTTGTTGTTGTTGTTGTTGTTGTTTGTTTCAATTATCGAACTTGAAGTTTTTAAGTATTTGAATTTATCGAACTTGGAAGTTTTTAATTATTTGAATTTATCAAACTTGGAAGTATTTAAGTATTTCAATTATGTTGAGTTAATTAAGTATTTCAATTAAGTATTTGAATTTATCGAACTTGAGGTTTAATGCTTTCTCTTTGATTCTAGTTGCTTGATGTTTCTTGTCTTTGATCAATGGCTTCTAAGCTTGCTTAAATACACCTTGAATCACTTCTGAACTTTAGTGATAATTAATGAAGATAATATAGCCGTTTAAGTGTAAAAACATTTAATAAAAATGCTTGAAGCGTGGGGGAATCGGTACCCTCTCATAGGGAATCGGTTCCCTAAGTGTAAAATTCAAATATTTCGACCGTTGAATAGGGGGGAATCGGTACCCCCTATGGGGGAATCGGTTCCCTCCGAGCATTCTGAAAATCTCGGAGCCAAACCATTCAGTGAGGAATCGGTACCCCCTTGGGGGGGAATCGGTTCCCCCTTGGGGGGGAATCGGTTCCCTATGAGCAATCTGGAATATTAAAATCGGTTTTTTTATAACCGGTTTTTTAAAAAAACCGTTTTTTTTAAAACCGAAACCGGTTACACCGGTTAGGATATCCGGCCCTCCAAACCGGTTAAAAACTGAACCGGTTATTTTATAAACCGGTTTTTTTTCTATGGGAAAAAACCGGATCGGATAAAAACCGATCCGGATCAGATTGAAATCCGACAAATGTTCATCTCTAACACTCATTAGAGATGGTATAATTTCAAATGAAATTAAAGATAATTACGGATACACTTTCAGAAACCAATTATTTCAAAGATAAATCAATGGATTTCATTTGACCAAATAAAATTTAGGATAAATTATCAATTTAATCATTTATCTATTATTTTATCTTTTTGGGTATAACCACGGGCCTATTATTTTATTTTTTATTTTTATTTTAATAATGTATATATATATATATATTTTGAATTATATCACAGTAAAATAAGATATATAAAAATAAAAGGATGAAAACTATAAATTTTCTTTTTTAGAAAAAAAAACTATTTCAATTGAGGCTATCACCCGTTGTGTTCACGTAGCCGTTTTACAATTTTCTCATCCTCTTACAAACATTACAATTAAACAACGTTAATCTGAGTGATAGCAAAAGTGGAATAAGAAGAAAAATTATTAGAGTTTTGGAAATTGAGGACCTCTAATGGGAACATGAACGTGAAGATGTTAGATTAAGACAAAATTGCAGAAATCTTCCACCATGAAAGTCTCCATTTTTGTCTCAAAATAGTGTTTCAGGCAGTTTAGGAGAATTTAAGGTTGCCACCGATTTAAACTACAACAACAACAACCTCATTAGTGAGCATTTGAGAATGATTCCATGTTAGTATGAAGAAGTTATTACCATTGGTTGCTTGTATTTGGTGCGAATTGCAGTTAGAGGGCAACCTTTGGTGTTCCACTGTAAATCTTGCAATGCAACAACTGTGTTTCTAATATGTGATGCATTATAAGCCGTGTAGTGTTCAATAGTTGAATTCTGCAGAACAAAAATGGGGGGGGGGGAAATGAGCATGCAAATCCAACCAAATGAACCCAGAAATCAGGAAGAATAAGAGGATTGACCCATGGGTGAGATGAGTGATCCAATGTCCATCTGGCAAGAAATACAGCTGAGGCTGCCACCATGGAAGGAGCCAAATTCAAGAAATCATACTCAGTTAGTGACAGCTCTGCTAGATAATTTGCCAAGTACTCCATTTCCATGCTTGGACTCTGCATGTTGTAAAACAACTCCAGCTTAAATATTTGAAAATCCGATTTCGAATTTAAACTAAATATGTACCTTGTAAGAAGCTTGTGCTGCTCTTAAGAATCTCCTGGAAAGAACCAAGAAAAATAATAAATATTTCCAGACTAATTATTTGCTTAAAGATTTCTGGATTAGCCTAAAATACCTGAGGAAAGTTTTTGCAGTAGGTGCATATATTTGAAAACCAAAATACTTCAATACATGAGTCTCCATTTTTAGCACCTGCAAAGACCTTATCGTAAGCTGGTTATAGGGTGGATGGGTGTCGGACACGAATACTTCATGAAAAATGAAAGACTCGGAGTGAGATATTTGATGATGAACAAAAGACAAATAGTAGCAATGACATACTTCCTCTTTGGTGTAAGTGTTGTCTGTGATGAAGCAAAATTCTTCGACACGAGGGGCACATATTTCCTCATACTTGCTTCAAGTTTAAAGAGAAAATTGAGGTAAGAAAGAATTACAATAGGAAAGCAAATGCAAATTTTTCTAAGATTTTCATATCTGAATATGTGTTGAAAATTTTGAATACTTGACTGCAACAAATTCTGCAATGTATGCGGAAGCACTTACGACGCTATTAGCATGCAAGTAATCCCAAGAAGTTGAAGTCGTTGTCTTTCAATGTAGTTTCTAGAGAGAAACCAATCAATTAAATGCACCGTGAGGTAAAGTGTGTCAGGCACCAACTTGTATTCTTCAGATACCTGAATATCAAGTCAGTACTTCCACTTACCATTCGCATCTTTCATTAAATAGCCATTATAAACAGATAAAAATACACCAATGGTTATCAACAAGTGAACTCGATGTTGAACCACAAACATCAACCAGTTGAATCAATGTGATTAAACAGTATTAAACTAACCTCCACAAGCCAATCACATTAAATAGCCATTATAAACAGATAAAAATACACCAATGGTTATCAACAAGTGAACTCGATGTTGAACCACAAACATCAACCAGTTGAATCAATGTGATTAAACAGTATTAAACTAACCTCCACAAGCCAATCAACCAAAATCCCTCGCATGCTTTGAGTGATATCGTGCTGTATTGTCTCCATAAAATTAGGATATGGACTGCGAACAAGCTGAAGAAAGTGATTTAGCCAAATGCAAACATCAAAAGTTCTAGTTAAGGGTTTGGGTACTAATAAAGTCACAGTGAGACGAAGAGCTGCAAAGTACACCATGAGACAGGATGCACACATTATATGTAACTGAACTAAGCTTCTTGCATTCAAGTGTGAATGTCAGATATGGGTATGTGTCCGTATATGTGGAGGTAATATCCCTATATCCATGTCTCTACGCAAGTTTGGACATCGATTTGTAAGAGAAAAATAGAATTAGAGCAACATAGTACCCCAAGTCTCACATTTTAGATATAGATTGAGGCAGTAACTCATTTTACCAATTTTTCTGTTTTAGGGAATGAAATTCTTTTGTTCTTTCTTTTTAGAGGAACATTAATGGAAATGGGGACTTCGAAGTATAACAGATAAATGACATAAATAGAACATACCTCCGCAACATGCAATTTGTTATAGATTTCTGGGGCATAGAGGCTGCACAGTTGAGGATCCTTCTTATCCAAATCAATGTCGACAAAATCCGGTCACTAGTTGTTATCGAGGTCCCAGAAAATCTAATTTTCTCTGAAGTAATCATTTCAAAAAAGCCAGTACTTGTAGTAGAAAGAAATATAAAACAAAAACAAAAAAGCATATATCAACCTATATGGCTACATCTCCAGCTTATAACCATTAACCAAACAAAGAAAGCAGTAATCCTAGCACTACATATTGCTTAACAAATAAGTTTCCAAAAATTAGTCTTATGGAAGTAATACTATGAGAAGTCTCCAAGAGATTTCATATTTTACTACAACATAGATAGTGTTAACCGAAAAGCCATTGGATGGCTAACTGAACAAAGACAGAAATATTTACTTCAGTACATGATCGTCCAATCATTCCTATCGACCAGAACCTCTCTTCAAGTTCTAATAGTTTCTTATCGTTGTTAATCACCAGCAAACTTATCTTCTTTGGTCTCTCCTATGCAATATGCCACATCGACCAGAAATTTACTTTACCCTATGCAATATCAGTTTGTTCATCCTTCTAAGTAGTGCATACGCCACATTTCTAATTTTTTGCTTCCTAATCTTATAAAGTTATAGATAATACAAAGAGCTAAAAGCCTAAAACCTTTATAATCTGGCTTTCCGGGATTGCTTGGGTTTTATAGAGTTTGGAAATAAAGGTCATTTTGGCTTTGTTGTTTATTTCCTTCAAAACATTGTCCATTATTCCATTGATGAGAAGTCCTGTTTTGTACAATGGAAGCAAAAATTTGGTTTTAAAAGCACCTCATATGACAATTTTTCATGTCTTAGATCTTTACTTTTCATTCCTTTCGTAGAGCTGATCTGCAATTTTTTCTTTTTCATGTCTTAGATCTTTACTATTAATATGAATTTCATACTTCATATGACAATTTACTTAATACAGTTGTTTCTATCAACGTGGGTTCAACAATTGCATTCAATGTCAAAAATTGAAGCATACAAAATTCTACCTCCAAGATGTACTTTCCCCCGTGCTAACCAAACTTAATATGTATGCATTCTTTCATATGAACTTCACTGTCAAGTATCAACTTCGGAGGTAAGGGAGAAGAAGAAAGCTAACCATTTCTTTGACGATGGATTTGCGATCGTGGAGGCATTGATGAATTTTGATTTGAAAGCCAACGGTAATGTACACCATCATTTACGCTATTTAACAGAAGAGTAGCATCTTCTTTCACATTAACTGAGCATGTAACTTCTAATTTGTGTTGTACTTTTGCATTCTGTTTAATGTCTTCGTTTTGTAAGTTGGCTTGAGTTGGCTGGAATTGTGCTGCTACATATGGAGCCACTTTAGAATTGGCTGACCCTTTTCTAGCCTGCTTGCTGCTCCTAGCCTGGCAGTATTGAAATCGTAAATCCTAATCACAAAAATATCTATCAACATGTGAACTATAAACAATATCTAGCTGATACAGCTTTCATGAACAGGTCGACGATGCATACAGTATATTTTTAAAAAACTATACATATTTAAGACCACAATCGAATTGATATTATAATCAAGTATGGGAAGTTACCTGGATTTGGTTGCATAATGCAGTTCCTATATGAATTATTACAGAGAACATTTGTGACATCCTGAAGAACTGCTCTCTTCTTATGCTTAAGACCTGCATTTCAGGTGCATCGATATTGTTTTCATCCGAGGCTTTTCTTTCATATTTTCTTGCTTAGGTGCATTTAGACGAGGCAACTGTCCGGAAGCACGCAACGCAGCAGCTCGACTGCGCGTGATTCGACCATTAAGTTCATCAAAATTAGCAGAAACTACATTTTCTTTCCTCATATTTACAAGTTTCTGAGAACCAAAGCCACAGCAATAAAATGAAGCTAGAAAATCCCAACCTGCATCCATGAGAAACAACAAGGTTCCATTGAAACATATATCCCGAACATATGGAAATCTGAACATAGATCTAACAGGCATGTAATGCGACATTGTAACAAATTATGGGAGATATAATGGCATGAGAAGAACCTTTGCACATCAAATTTGAAACAAGAAGAACGCACATACTTAATTTGTTGTGTCAGGTTTTAACTTGAAATTACCATAGCTTTACCAAACCACATACTTTGTTCTCCTTTCATGTTATTTTAAATACAATCTGTAATGTGGCAATGCTTTTTTTATGAAACCCCATTTCACCTATAATTTATAAACAGAAATTTAAAAACAAGAAAAATGAATACATTAAAAGATTTGTCCAAAGAAAAGACAGACCAGATTAAACTTTAAGAACTTGAAAATTTGATAAAGGTACAAATCCACTATAACCTGAATTATTTAAGAAGCAAGACCTAGAAAACATAACATGGATCTGAAATCTTTCCAAATTTTGGCTCTAGCTTTTGATACGAGGACTGGAAATAACAACCTAAAACAAGGAGAGAAATCAAGGGTAACTAACACGTGCAAAAATTCAAAAACCATTTGAAACAATCAATAATCAACATTAATGCAGATGGAGATTTTCAACAAGATTAAACAAAAAAAAGGAAAAAAAAAGTATATCTAAATAATGTTTCCAATATGAAGAACTTGTAAAATAAAATCATCCATAGAAGTCAAGATCCTTAAACCCAGAAAAGATATATTTTCGAGCACCGTTTTCCCTTGAAAGATTGAAAATTTATGTAAACCAAGATCGATCTGGTGATATTTTTAAGCATCATACATTGAAATTCAAACAACAACAAGAAAAGAAGCTTCTGCAAATGGGTATTGAAAAGAATCAAATGAATGTGTATAGATTGCAAATTTGACCTTGTTTTTTGTTTTTCTAAGCTCAAAGAAACATCCCTTCAAGCTTAGAAAACAGAAAGAAAAATGTTTGATGTTTTTTTTTCCCCCTCGTTATGGAGAAAAGGAAGAGAGAGCCAGTGAAGTGAGCTGTGAGCGGGATAGAGTTTAAACTTAAAATTTAAAAAATGAAATTAAATAATACTAATAAGGCAAATTGGATTAAGGATATTTTATGTGCTGGTTTTCAGGTTTGATCTGATCGTTTGACTAAGTGTGAACTCTCAAGACTTTACTTTTAGTTCATGCTACCACTAAATTGGTTCTGATTTTGTGGTTGTTGGGATTCCATTTAAATAGGGATTGTCTCATATATATAATATATATATATATATATATATATGAAGGTAGGTTAATATACGGCGTTACTAATATATTAAAGATATTAATAAATTCGGTTTAGCGTTACCGAAATGTTGAGTAATAATAATGTTTAGGTCTAAATCATGAAGAAATATTAAAAAATTTGGCAACCGGTAAACTTAGCTTGTCGGTTTATGTCAATACGTTATAAAATTATCGATCCACATCATTATAACAGGAAAAATATGACAAAACCGGTCACGAAAAGACAAAATCGGTAAAGCGCTACTAGATATATTGAAAGTGTCGATACTTTAATATAAGTATCGACACTTTGTGAATTTAAAAGATAAACAGTTTTAACGCCTTTAAAGTATCGATACTTTATAAAAATGTATCGATCCATAACGATATAACAGGAAAAAATATGACAAAATCAGTCTCTAAAGGACAAAACCGGTAAAGCGCTACATGATATATTAAAAGTCTCGATACTTTAATATAAGTATCGACATTTTGTGAATTTAAAAGAGAAGCAATTTTAGCGCATATAAAGTGTCGATACTTTATAACAATGTATCGATCCACAACGATATAACAGGTAAAAATATGACAAAACCGGTCTCTAGAGGACAAAATCGGTATAGAGCGACCGGATATATTGAAAGTGTTGATACTTTAATATAAGTATCACACTTTGTGAATTTAAAAGAGAAGCAATTTTAGCGCCTATAAAGTGTCGATATTTTATAATAATGTATCGATCCCACAACGATATAACAGGTAAAAATATGATAAAACCGGTCTCTAAAGAACAAAACCGGTATAGAGTGACCGGATATATTGAAAGTGTCGATACTTTAATATAAGTATCAACACTTATTGAATTTAAAAAAGAAGTAGTTTTAGCGCCTAAAAAGTGTCGGTACTTTATAAAAATGTATCGATCCATAACGATATAACAGGTAAAAATATGACAAAACCGGTCTCGAAATAAAAAAAACTGGTAATGAGCTACCGGATATATTGAAAGTGTCGATATTTTAATAAGTACGCGTAATAAATTATCGATACTTTCAAAGAAATAGGTAATTATACTATCGAAAGTATTGACACTTGACATAAAAGTATCGACACTTTTGTAGTTGTATCGATTAAATATAAATAACATATCCGGTGAAAATATGAAGGGCATAGTTAAATAACCTCTGAAAAATAGATAGAACAGACGAGTTTTTGAAATCGAAGCGTAATTGTTGTTGTATTTCAAAAGGTGTTTCTAAAGCGAAGTTTGTTTGTTTGTTGTTGCAGTCGAATCGAAAAGTACATATCAAAGCCCTAGTTTTTTATTATTACAGTAATCGGAAATAGGATTTTTATGTATTATTTGGGGTTTTGGAGTAAAGAAGCATTTGGGACCGATTACATGTAGAAATTGATATTCTAGGTAAAATATAAATATCGATACTTTTATTAAAATACTATAGGTAGAAAATGATATTATAGGTTGTATAAATGTGTCGATACTTGGAGTATTGAGTGTTCCTATTCGTTTGAAGGAAATAGGGATTAGGGGTTTTTTGTTTGGTTTGGGGATTTCGAATTGAAGCCAAGAAGGATTTGAGACCGATTATATAATATTATAGGTAAAAAATAAAATGGATCCTGTATATAATATTATAGGTAGAAAATTATATTTTAGGTCGTATAAATGTGCCGACACATTTTGTAGTGGCCATTCAAATTCTTGTGAAGAAAACCGTTTTACCACAAGAATAATTATCTATATTTGTATATTGAATAAAGTGTATGTAACAAGTATTTGATTTGATTTGCATAAACTAATATATTAAGGAAAAATGGAG